TCAACAAGGCTGTATATTTTAAGTCGAATTTCTTCCATATAAACATGACATTGATTGAAATAGCGCTATGAAATTGCAAATTGCTTGTCTGGTGAAGATTTGGCTGTTGTTTTCTTTGGTTTCTGATTAAATGCAATCCTTCTTGGGTTATGCATAATGAATCCGTTTAGCCCGTCCTTTTGTGTGGAGGTAATTGGTTAGCGAATTTGAAATACCCTCCTGGAGACAGCCGGTTACGTAAAATAGAAGAGGATAATTCTTCCGGAAGTAGTGAAAAAAGTGTCCTAAATGTGAAAAATGTTTGTGAAAATATTGTTTTTTGTTAGTTTAATCCAAAAGTATAGAATACGTGAATGTAAAATGTCCTTCGATGTTGGTCGACACTGGATCTAGTGTCATAATGAATGAAGCATTCGCAAGCCAGAGTGATATGGTGCCGACTGGGGGAGTCAGTGTCACATCGGCAACGGGCATCCGTGTCGTTATTGTGGGTAAGCGTGACTTTAGGTTTAGAATAGGTGAACAAACTGATTTTGTGTATAATACATTATTTGCTCTGGATTTCCCGCATGAATGTATTTTAGACTTGGACATTTTGAAGGATTGTGCATGCTAAATTTATGCTGCAAATGATTCTGTGTTAATCTCTGTTGAGATTCTGCTAGGCTAGATATTTGGACTGACGTCTACAGAATCTCTGGACACTTCTTCATTATTCATGTCTGGAAATTGAGCCCCAACTTTGGCCGACTATAGCAAGAATTATTTACATAGGCAACACTTCCGCTCGCTTCAATTTAGTCATTCGGTTGTTTATTTGACTCTCTGTCACTATTATTTCTACATGACTAACTGTTTAGGCATGTAAATCCCAACATAAAAAAAATAGTCACTGAAATCCCCATTCAAAACATGGCTCATGGGATTTCAGTGAATGTTTTTTTTATGTTTGGATTTACATGCCTAAACAGTAAGTTATGTAGAAATAATAGTGACAGAGAGTCAAATAACCAACAAAATGACTAAATTGAAGCGAGCGGAAGTGTTGCCTATGTAAATAATTCTTGCTATAGTCGGCCAAAGTTGAGGCTCAATTTCCAGACATGAATTATGAAGAAGTGTCCAGAGATTCTGTAGGCGTCAGTCCAAATATCTAGCCTAGCAGAATCTCAACAGAGATTAGATTCTGTGTATATAAATAGTGAATGTATTTCATTTATCTCTGATGGAAGTTCGGTTGTTGAGAGTGAACAAGATGCGTGTAATTACAAGAACTTGAATGGGACTGAGAAAAATGAGTGTCGAGTTTGGTGAGAAAGATATTAATGATTTCTATGTATCGGGTGATTTATATAATAAGGTGACGCAGAAAACAAGTATATTACTAAGGTAATAGAGAAATACAGGAAAGTGTTTGTTTTCAGCGATAATGAATTGGGAGGACAGATATAGTTGAGCATTCAATAGATACAGTGGGCGATAAACATATCCACTTGAGACATAGGATTCCTCACAGCCAGCGGAAGTTACTGGAATCTTAAGCTTAGAAAGACATGAAAGAAAACAATGTGCTCTAATTGAATTGTGCGACCATCTAAGAGTCTGTATTATCGTTTTGGTTCCCATTAGGAAAAGTGACAGAGAAAAGACTGCCTTTTCCTTCTTTGAAGGGCAGGGTTCTCCATGAGCTGTTTTACTGTGTTGCTCCCGACACAGTAAAATTTTCTCCGACACAGTAACGATTCAAATTTAATGCTTGCGACACAGTAAAAATTTTGCCAACACAGTAAGATCTGTGATAATTAGAAAATCTAAACATAAATTCTCTCTAACGTACTGAGATTTTAATCATACAATTCTACTTTCTTTCAATTCTAAACAGCGGAGCACTTAATTACTAGGGTTTCACCTTGCATAATCAATTATCTTCTAGACCCCCGCCGGACTTCACGCATGAAGAAACAAAGATAAATAATTTGTTTTCACACTTCCATGTAACGGTTAATTGGTAGTTGAATTAAAATAGATTGAATTATTTTTTAAAAATATTAAAACGTGTCCTTTCTAAATAACCACGGCTCTACTGTAGGATTATTTTAGTACTGTAAGTGAACCATAAAATCGTACCGAAGTCATTTCATTGATGTAAATGAATTGCTTAAAATTTTCAACATGTTCAAATAAGGAACTCTTAAAAGGAATTTACTGTTCTAAAGTTTCTTTTTTGTGTAATTCAGTAATATGATCTAGAAAACTTACTAATACTCACGACAAATTCACTGTAAAAAATGTAGAGTACTTTGACAATATCGACCAAAATTTCCTCTGCTTTTCAGAGCATGTGTTTTTACTTTTATGAATATGTACGACCAAACCATTTGTGTAACGAATTACCGAATTGTTTTTAAAAAGTGTGTGTATGTATTCTTTTGTTATTCTAATGAATCAGTTTCAGTTGCGAATTTGAATGCAAAATTACAGCGAAATTTTAGTGCTTCGCTTAAACTCTGCAACACAGTAACATTTTAAATGATAGAGAACCCTGGGAGGGCATTATAAATATAATTATATGCCATTCGGACTGTATATATTGCACAAACATTCAAGAGAATTATGTGCTTTTAGGATAACTGTGGAACACGTGTCCTGTGTATATAGACGACGTCATTGTCAAAATTGTATAAAATTAAGTTTCACTTGGTATCTAAATATCAATCTCTCACCAGAGGGCGTTGTTTACGCCCCGCTCCAACACCTCTGTTATCGTCTAAATTACTAGAATCTTGTAAAACGAAAATGAATTATAGATTCATACCAACTTGGTAATTATTTAAAATGAAACTAGAAATATCAATCTTTAGCACTTCTTTTGTTCTTTTAAAATCGGGATATATTTTAAAATAGCTTCAACATATACGGCGCTATTTTGTTTAGAATTTTTACACAAATTTTCATTTTGAAATCAAGGGGACAAAGTTAGAAAATATTTACTACAAGAGAGCTTAAAACATAAAACATCATTTGCAAAACATGCAAAACAATCAATGTTTATACAATTTTTGTTGACATTTAATTATTTGACAATCAGCACTACTTTTTAGACGACAACAGAGGTGTAAGCGGAGCGCGCCCTCTGGTGAGAGATTGATCTAAGTATCAATACAATACCCGGTCCAAAACTAGCTATGTTAGCCAGTAAGCTGAAAGAATACAATATAATCATGTCAATTAAACGCTTTACAAGCTAATTCAATTTCCTAGGTTTTTCTTATAGCGAATGGGATTATTGTTTGCTACAACCAAACATTCAATTTTATTGCTTGGTACAAGGAAGCTAAGAACAGGAATATTAAACATTACAATAATGTTTAGCCTATCCCTTAGCCCCCTGTTTGGCGGGGGGCAGGGACAATGAAATTCAGTTTTTGTTTCCTTCCACGCATAATTATACGTTATGTGTTAAACTGGTAAAAATGGATTCATTAGAATTTGAAGAAACAGAAAATATTTAAACGTTAATAACGCTTGAGCAAGCAGTGTTTAGAGTCTTTGATCTTGACTCACGGATTAATTAAGGGGTTGGACCTAAAGTTTCAGGTTCGAAATGCACCGTGAGACATGGAGACTGTGATTCGGATAGGACCGTATATACAAACGTCCCATGTTGCAGTAGAAGCTGACATTCAATAGATCAATCACTGCTTAATGCTCTATGTGCCAAGATGGGTCAAAATGTGGTGGTGCATCATAAGAGACATTCCTTGAAGAGGACTTTTAACAACAAACCAATTACACGACTTACCAATGTATCATAAAGGACGTACGATGACGGATTAAAATAGATGACAATAAAGTGAATGATAATTTAAACTTCATTTTAACTTTATTGTTTAATTAGTTCTTTTAAAAATAACTTCATGAGTTCTGAGAACATTTTAATGACAACTTCCTAGATCGATAACAAAAGCCCTTTTTTTAATATTCTTAAAGTTTCATGATGATATCACACCTTATAAGAAAATTATGAAAAAAATAAAGAAAGAATATAAGTGTACACCGGCGCACGAAAGCAAGCGTTAACGTCTCTTATAACGTCATGATCTCTTTGTCTGCTTCACTTGCGGGTATTAACATTCAATAGTTTTTAAAGTGAAAGACCATTCTTGATAAACGGGCAAATTTAAATTCACTACTGTCCGTTTGTTTTTTAATGTTACAGAAGAAAATAGGGGTGGATACAATAAAATAAAATGTGGATTTAATGTTATTTTTTCGTCTTTTTATTTAAATGAAAAGGACACAATGAATCAAAATCACGTCTTTCTATTAAGATGCATGTATCCGTCGCATGCAGAGAAAGTCTTATGAAAATTATGAGTATAGAGCTAAGATATGGCAATTAAACTGCAAGGAAAAATTGCACGATATAAATACCAGAAAAACAAATGTTGTATTTACCGTTTCCTTTTTTTTTTCGTGTTTCGACTTTTCTGCGCACGCGTACAATGAGGTGGATGAAGTATTGAGCAATATTTTTGGTATGGGGTATGCAAAAATTATTTTTACTTCTATTTTTCTCCTTAAAATTAGATTTTGTAGGTTCTGTAAACCTAATACTTTTAGGAATTGAACAAAATTAACAAGAAAAAAATCAACATTTGTCAATATTCCATTTGTCCATAAGAATGCCGCTTTAAATAGTCATACAATGTATATGTATTTTATATTTAAATGATATGTCTTAGAGGAGCATCATGGTCCATATTCCTAAAGTCAATTATTAATCTGAGTACAATTTACAAAAATTATTTAGCTACTAAGTTTGACTTTTAACAACAAATTATATTATATATGTGTTTGAAAGATTACAGAATTTGTAATATAACTAACAAAATATTATGATGAATTTAAATAGAATAACAATTATGCATACAGTAAAAATAAATCGATTTACAGCAAATAATGTTTTCCAAATAAAAAAATTAAAAAACCAAACGAAATCACAGTTTATCCATTTCACACCAACGAGTGAGAAGAAGAGCTGTTAGGACGTTCAATGACAACAATGACAGATCCGTGTATCTGAAAACATAAATGTTTACCTTTAATGTTTTTCAATTATTCTTTTAGATAAAAAAAAACCCTCGTAAAAAAACGTCTAAATTAGATATACTGTAAACCAACTTTTATTAGCGACGACCTTATTTCGCGATTAAGTGATCAACTAGTTCGTGACGATAAATTTTCACCAGCAATCCCTTTTGCATATTTTAAAAAGACAAATATACTATAATGACCATTTCGCGGCGAGAAATATTCGTGATGACGAGGTTCTTGCGAACTTCACAAAACATTTCTCGCACTCGAATAAAAATTGGTTTTCAGTACCTGTATCTACAATGCATGTATATCACGACCCCTTGTTACTTTCTGGCGCAGTAGATGTTACATGTAATAAGAACATGCCTTCCTTTTTTGTTTTTATTTTTTAATACTTTGCAAAAGTGTATTTTTCTTAAATATTGTAAAATCAGATTTTTGAGGAATCAAACTTTCGTGCTTTGAAGAAAATATAATGGCTCATAAAGATTTGATGTCGTGGTTGAAAAGTTATACAGTAGTAATATTGTAGTAATAATGATTCCAAGGTTTTATTGTTTTTTTGATGTTTAGAGATCAGTCACTTTTCGTTATTTTTACTTTTCATAATCTACCAATGAAACTTTAAAAAAAAAATATTGCTTAAAAATGAATAAGTATATGATTTTATAAATTTTATGACTAATAAACATAAAGAAGAGTACTGGAAGATTTTCATTCTTCTTTGCTTCTTAGCCAATTTCCATAGCCCACACCCACTGACGTCAAACACAAAGGCAGCTGCACGAGATTTTCATGCATATTTGGCATCCTAAGAGTCAGACACAGAGTCAGATGCGCACGAGATTTACATGCATATTAGGCCTCCCTATCACCTGACCTTTCGACCTGCCTGTTTTACATTCTGGCAGTTTATCAAGAAATTAAATCTGCTAAGTTACATTATCACAGAGACAAAAATAAGATTGATTGATGATTGATTTTAAGACATATAAATCATCGGAAGTAGTTATCTATACTTGATTATTTTCAAAAGATTGCTTGGTTAGTATTCTTTTTCAAACGTAAAGAAAACTTACTTTCTTTCTCCATTGTTCGTTCTGTTTGTGTCTTCCTTTGAATTTATATTTCCTTCAGAAAATTCTACCAGTTGTACTTCCTTAACTTTTATTTCCCTTTGCCTGTCGTTTTTATGTTTTTCATGCCTATGATTTATCAAATGTGACGTGTATGTCATAATTGTCTTGAAGCATTCAGGATCTAAATTTGATAAAATGAAAAAAAAAGGCTTGTTGTGATGTTTCCAGATTTTTCTTTGTCCTTCGAAAAGTTACAGTATATGGCAGTATTATTATTTACACACGATATCATATCCATATCTCCTATCTCAGAATGTGCTTAAAATATTTTTTTTCATATTTCTAAGATCTGGTTCAATTTCAATATGTGGATAATTAACATCTTCCATTGTCTTTCACGCATGATTACAGGAAACAACGAACACGCAAAATAAATTTTGGACATTGTACTGCAAAATTTAGTTCATAAAAATTTTAGTCAAAATAGAAACCCAACCAATCCCTGAAACAGAAGGTGACTGAATACTTACAAAGATACACATCATTAGACTGGTAATGTTCTGGACATGGTTTCCAAAAGGTAGTGCATCGCTCTCTGTTGAATTGAATTCTTTTTCCAAGCACATTGTATTCCACACAACGACCTTAAATGTGATATAGCAGAGGCAAATGTTAAAATGAGATTTTAAAATTTACCTTGATTTTGCTATTTTCAAAGAATACTGCGATATATTAAAATGAGTATAACAAAATACTAGGGAAATTGTCCTGTCATACTGACAACTGCATTTATCTCATCAGTTGCAAAGTTTGCTCGAAACAGTATATTGGTGAAACAGGAGATCTCCGCAGGAGAGTCAATAACCACCGTTCGACCATTAGGAGCAAAAAACTCAATGAACCCGTTGGGGAACATTTCAACCTCGAGGGTCACAAATGGGAGGACATGACAGCAGTCACTGTGGTGATTGACCATAACCCAAGATGGAGAGATGCTCAGAGAAAAAGCAAAGAAAAGTTCTGGATGCACAGATTGAAGTCATTCCGCCCTAATGGTATTAACAAACTGAATGACTTCACCAGAATGAACGTAAACTAGACCCAATTCCTGATGATACTAAACAAGATTATTCTCCCAATTAAGTATAAACTCTACAGTTAATTTGCGTCACCAACTCTCAAACAACCCACATAACTATGTATTGCTTACGCCTTTGTTAATTATTTTTTCCCGGTAATAAGTCTTGAAATATTTCAAAAATTATAATTAATCATAATTCATATGTTTAAATATCCCTGCTATATTATTTTTCTTTGATTATTCTTTATTAAGTAAAGTTATGCCATTTTGAGAGAATAAAACAATGTACGATTTACTGATTGTCGTAATTAATTAGCATAATCAATTCGTTCAATTAAGTAAATTGCACTTCACCCAAGTATACAAGATAGACAGGCCAAATTTCATAGCGGTCCGAAATTCTTTCTTTATTAGTGTTCTTAAAAATTTCCATTTCAACATGCAATTAAGTATGTAAAATTTAGTGTTTAGTAGTTTAGTAGTAGTTCTAGTTGTTTTTGTTTCTCTTTTTCCTTTGTTCTTATAAATTTTTAACATTTTTCTTTGTCCTGAGGAAGGGACAGGCCGTCCCGAAAATTTGACAATTTTTATTGTTCGTGTCCTTGGTCATTTTTAGTGCTTTATGTAAAAAATGGGTGGACTAAACTAGCCAGAAAAAATGCTGCAAATTTAAGTTCCATAGAATGTGAATTTTTTTCCATCATATAAACACTCGATACCTTAACTGTGTATTTATGGTACGAATGTGAATTTAAAATGCTCTTTTCGAGGTAAACTAAATAAATATCGAAGGCATGGTGTCTGAAGATTTGTTAAATATCAATAGATAATCAGGGTCAGGCATTTTTCATCGTCTGAATACATAATCAGCGCATGTTTGTCGGCTGTTCTTACGAAAACTGTAGTTGTATATTGAACAAAATAATGTCATATTAAAAGGAGAAGAGCCGACAAACGTGCACTGACACTTAATTTAACAAAAATATGTCCAAACAAACTTCTCGCTTCCATTGTTGCGACTTCGATTGACCTATTAAATATTACAATTCATCACGTGATGTCCACCTGTGAGTGTACTCGTGGAAACAGTTACATTGTATTCTTCAACCTGACCTAGATGTAAATCACTATGTTTGGTGCCCTTTTCAGATTTAGCACATTAAATGTTGTTTTAATTTTGCGTATCCTCACATTTAAAAGAAAAAAAAATCATAATGACATCGCTGTAATATTCCATACACGTATTCGAATTTCTAGAGAGAGAGAGATGTAGAGAGAGAAGTGTCAACAATGACACCGATCAATAGCCCTGCCTCCTTTTAATATTGATAGCGCGACCTAAAATCCACTCCGGGTATATGTCAAATTCCGGAAGATGACACTTATGTATCTTTGTTTCAATTTTGATTCATGGCAACAAGGCATTTCTTTTGTACATAAGTTCTAGCTAAAATAATCATAAATACGTCGCTCTTTCTAGTGGTTGTAATATATTTTGGATTCACTTTATTTTCAACTTGTTAGAGTAGTCTCAAAAAGATCCAAAATAGGGCGTTAAGTCCACCCATTCTTTCCATCCGTGACATTGTATCTACTCGGTAGATCCGACATTTAGGATATAGAGCGTTGTTGGTTTTTAGTGCTTATATATATATATATATATATATATATATATATATATATATATATATAGAAAGCACAAAGAAATTCACTTTTACATGGATACCCACTTCCGCCCCAGCCCGGGGTTGAACTCTCGACCTTCGGAATCTGTCTCCTAGCAGTGCAGGAACAGCGCGCTAGACCGCTCGGCTATCTAGGCAAGTCAAAAAACTTGCTTTCGATGCCGATGGAATTCTCGCGGCGCTGCCCTACACTACACGGTCATTGAGAATAGAAGTGAGATACAGTTATTTGGACATTAGTTTTAACAGAGGATTGTTACCAATACATGTTGTAATGAAATTAATTATTATTTATAAAGCACATTTTACAACAACTCTTAAACTAACATAACTGCCCTAAGTGAAGAAATATTAATATAGAAAGCACAAAGAAATTCACTTTTACATGGATACCCACTTCCGCCCCAGCCCGGGGTTGAACTCTCGACCTTCGGAATCTGTCTCCTAGCAGTGCAGGAACAGCGCGCTAGACCGCTCGGCTATCTAGGCAAGTCAAAAAACTTGCTTTCGATGCCGATGGAATTCTCGCGGCGCTGCCCTACACTACAAGGTCATTGAGAATAGAAGTGAGATACAGTTATTTGGACATTAGTTTTAACAGAGGATTGTTACCAATACATGTTGTAATGAAATTAATTATTATTTATAAAGCACATTTTACAACAACTCTTAAACTAACATAACAGTTATGTTAGTTATTATGAGTTGTTGTAAAATGTGCTTTATAAATAATAATTAATTTCATTACAACATGTATTGGTAACAATCCTCTGTTAAAACTAATGTCCAAATAACTGTATCTCACTTCTATTCTCAATGACCGTGTAGTGTAGGGCAGCGCCGCGAGAATTCCATCGGCATCGAAAGCAAGTTTTTTGACTTGCCTAGATAGCCGAGCGGTCTAGCGCGCTGTTCCTGCACTGCTAGGAGACAGATTCCGAAGGTCGAGAGTTCAACCCCGGGCTGGGGCGGAAGTGGGTATCCATGTAAAAGTGAATTTCTTTGTGCTATATATATATATATATATATATATATATATATTTATATATATATATATATATTATCAAGATTTTTAAACCATCCCTAAATAGTTTGATATAGACTGTCTCATGACTCAATTACTTATAACAATATGAATTATGTTATTTTACTTTGACTCTATAATTGTTTCCTCTATAAGCATTGTGACGTCATTGCATTGTTTTTGACGTTATCAACAGGTAACGTTATTACGTCAAATTTTTTGAATTGTAAAACGTCTGAAGAAATAATGAAGAAAGCGCTTACGTTTTACTAACATTGTTGCCTTGTCAATATTTTTCTAAGATTAATTACCGGACACTGTGAAATTTCTTTCATTTTTAGATATATATATATATATATATATATATATATATATATATATATATATATATATATATATAGAAAGCACAGAGAAATTCACTTTTACAAGGATACTCACTTCCGCCCCAGCCCGGGGTTGAACTCTCGACCTACGGAATCTGTCTCCTAGCAGTGCAGGAACAGCGTGTTAGACCGCTCGGCTATCAAGGCAAGTTAAAAAACTTGCTTTCGATGCCGATGGAATTCTCACAACGCTGTCCTACACTACACGGTCATTGAGAATGGGAGTGAGTTACAGTTATTTGGACATTAGTTTTTAGAGGATTGTTACCAATACATGTTGTGATGAAATATATTTTATTTATAAAGCACAAATTACAACGACTCTGAAACTAATATAACTGAAAAAAAATTTCTTGCGATTTTATACAAGGTGGAGAATCATTCACATTCAAAACGGGAATGAATTTTAGAGTTCAACATAATATGAACTGCAAAACCAAGAACGTCATATATTGCATGACTTGCTGTGGTTGCTGAGAAAATTACATTGGTCAAACAGGGAATAAAATATCCGACCATGTTAGAGTGCACAAACAGCAGATAAGGGACCCTTCCGTAAGAAATACTCCGTGTAGCGAACATTTTGAATAATGCGGTAAAGGACGTTTCAGTATCTTTCCGTTTTATAAAGTTACCGAGGAAAATGAACAGTTACGGCGGACCAAAGAACAATATTTCATTGATAAATTTAAGCCTAAACTAAACAGATAAATGTTCTGATTTAATCAATGACTGTTCATATTGTTTTTTAGAATTTATTAATTATTGATTATTATTGTGTAAATATGTATCAATTACAGTGCCAATTCTATTTACTCTGGCGCTTTCTAAAGACATTTTTTGCGCCAATTTTAACGTTGTCCTTTAACTATGACGTCATAATAACGACGTTATCATGTCATGTTGCTATTGTTATTCAAAATCCACTGAAGAGTCGAAGGGCAAAAGCGCTATGGATATATATATATATATAATTATAGAGTCAAAATATATAAAATCCAAATTCAAATGATAAACTCAAACTTTTATCTAAAGCGCTTTCGCCCCATGCGGGCTCATCAGTAGATTTGTAATTGTTACATTATGACGTCATTCTTGTTACGTTATGTAGGCAACGTTAAACATAATGATTGTGACGTAATAAAAGGCGACTAAATTGGGCGGTCCTTTGGATGAGACCGTATAAACCAAGGTCCTGTTTCGCAGCAGGTGTGGCACAATAAAGATCCCTCCCTGCTGAAGGCCCTGAGTGCCGAGCATAGGCCTAAATCTGCAGCCCTTCACCGGCAATGGTGACTTCTCCATATCAGTGAAATATTCTGGAGCGGGACGTAAAACAGTATACAATCAATCAATAATCACAGTTCAGTGAGGAGCACAGATAAAGTTTTACAGTTCATCTTATCAAAGTCTAGCGCCTATTATAAATGTACAATAATAGAGACATTTTATATAAAATGTACACAATAAAATAATTTGAAATAAATTCCTTTTAACAGTTCAATTTTTGTTTAAACAGATTTATAAAATATTTTTCTTTGGCTTTCCGTAATTGTTCATTTTCCTCTTTTATTTTGTAAAAAGGAAATATATAAAAATGTCCTTTGCCACACGAATCAAAGTGTTTACTACATGGCGTGTTCTTATTGTCGGATCCTTATTATATATATGAAAATTATTTTAAATAAATAAAAACACAGAGAACGAGTAAAACAGAAGCGCTTTCATTTCTTTTTCATGATGTTTTACAATACTCATGGTAACGTCTATTATGACGACATAATAACTTAACGTTAACAAGTCTTTGATTGACGTCATATTTCTCCCGTACTTTCACAGAACAATGCATTAACAAAGCATACAATTACAAAGCAATAAAAGTGACTCAGTAATATAATTTACATGTAAAGAAACAATTCTTTTACATTAAACTATTTAATTTAGGTTTGAAAGTTCTTATAAAATGTCTTTCTTTATCATGTCTATCGATTATGTTAGAGTTGTGCAGTTGATAAAATGGAAAGACAGTAAAAGTTCTCTTTCCGCACACGTCTAAGTGTTCACTGACTTTGAGTTTGCGATATTGCGGTACGTTTATTTGTTGTTTGTGTACTCTGATCCTTTCCCGTAAGGTACTTCCCGTCTCGACGATATATAGTTCCCCGCAACCGGAACATGTTATAACGTATATAACATTTCTAGTTTGACATGACATGTTATTATTAACAGTAAACTGTTTCCCGTTAAAGTTGAAACTTTGTACTTGTCGTATGTATGGGCAGGTACCACAACGCGGATCCTGGCACTTGGTCACATGAAATTCTGTCGTTTCTTTAAAAGAGGACTTTGTGAAAATTCGTCTGAGGTTCTTCGGCTGCCTCCTACTGTTTATGAATTTCTGATTTTTAAATATTTTAGACATAATTTCGTCGGTTTTCAAAACGTCTTTGAGTTAGTAAACAATCGGTGCAACGTTTGTATTCTGGGGATTATGGGTCGTTACTAAAGGCAGGATCCTGGAATCCGTCTTGTTTTGTTGCATAGGGTTGAGGAGGTCCTCTCTGTCTAAAGCCATGGATTTAGACAGAGAGGACCTGGCTTGGCATACAGCTGTACATGTATAACTTTAATAGCTAATAATACGAAATCTGAATTTCAAAATTTCGCAGAAATTGTAAACTTTCAATGGTTATTTAAGTTTTTTTTGTATTTCTGAATGAATATGCAGCGTTTCATCCCCTTAAGGAATATAATTCTGTAACTTTGAATTAAAATCTGAAAAACGCCGAAGAACAAAAAGTTCACATTAAAACAAATCAAAGAAATATTTCAAATTGTAAAAATGACTCAAATTCTACAGTACACATGTATACATTTTACGAGGGATTTCCAGAGTTTTGGAAAAGGTACAAATTAAAGTTAACAGTTTTTGTATTTTTTCTGCAATAGGTGAAACATTCATTCTTAAACTAACGAATAAAGGATTTTATTATTTAACTTCATGGTTAAAGTGTATATATGATTTTACTCATAACCCAGAGCCACAGGGCTCTATGGAGGAAGCCATAAAAATTACTATGGAATTTATCATGTTGGCAGAGGCAACTTCGATCATCATAGAAATTTTTGTGCAAGGTTGCCAAAGAGTTTCAGTCGAATGATTAAATGATTTTTCTCAAGTCTAACAAGTCTTAGAAAACGTACTTATTACTACCAGCTGCCTATTTGTGCTACAATTAAGTACAGGTCAAAAAGGAATTCAATTTCTGTATACATACTTGAGGTGATGCGTCTTTTTCCAAACAACTAAACTACTTGCCACTACGCAACAACCGGTTCTATCACGTACATGTACATTGTACCATTTATTTGTCATCAGCACTTGCCACTTGGCTTAACAACATTGCACACTGTAACAACTTGCATGTCTCTTAGTCAAGCTGGCTCTCTATGATCATTTTATCACTTCGATCAAATCAACGTTATGCCATTTCATGCCAATAATCTATGGAATCCTTGTCGTTACGTATGAATAATCCCTATCAAAAATACTAAAGTAAACTATTGTTAATCATAGTTTACTATAGTTAACTATTATTGTACCTAAGTTATAACTTTGGAACTTTGAATAACTCTGGTGAAAACTTTGATTTGATATAGCAAAATCTTTGGAACTTTGATTTACTATGGTGAAGTTTCCAAAACAGAACAAAGTACAAGAAATGGTTTTTATGTAAAAAAATTTCTTGCACCTATAAATAAGCAGTATTTATTTCAATTTATTTAATTTCAATTTGTGCAGATAAAACATTTTTTTTCATATTTTCATTGAGAATATCAAAAATACTAGAAGATAAAAATTGAGTCGTTTAGAATCAAAATATTTGCTTCATTTACTTCAGTCAACATCCTTTTTCAAATGTTAAATAAATACATTGCATTTTAATAAATCACTTTTCATATTTAAATTAAGCTGAACAATAAAAATCAGCCCAACAAACCCAATATAATCCCCCTTAAAACAGTTTGATAATTAAAAAAAAATTAATTAAAATACATAAGTTGTTAAAGTAATTACAAAACTTTAAAACTTTGAATAACTATCGTATTAACTTTGAAACTTTGATTCACTATGGCGAAAACATTAGAACTTTGATTTACTATAGTAAAAACATTGGGACTTTGATTTACTGCAGTGAAAACTTTGGAACTTTGATTAACTATAGTTAAATATAGCTTACTATAGCATTTCTTTGTTAGGGATTGTCAAATATCAAACAGGGAAATAGGCCCATTGGCCTAAACGCTTTACCGCATGGGTCCCTCTCTTATTCATTATACTTTTTTGTATTATTCATGCAATTCTATGTAACATTTGATCTTTTGAGGTCCCGTCCTATAAAAAAAGGGACCGCAATTCCAAAAAAAAAAAAAACAAAAAAAAAAAAAACATAAGCATTGTAAAGCTTTCTTAAAGTATTTTGTTCTTTGACAAATAGCATTCTGGCTGGGGATTGTTAAAATATACAAATCTGTAAGCTTCAGTTCTCTTATTACATGTAATAATGTTTCAGTGAAATGAGATATGCTGAAATGGGGGAAATTTAAGTGTAATGTGAGACAAACCGTTCACAAATTAATCATACTTTCTAAACAATAAACTTAAAATAGTGTAAGCTCTAATTCTATTTTCGTGAAAAAGAAATTTACAGATAAAATAGTATACCAAATATAACAAACCAAATATAATTCGTAAAGGTGCACAGACTTCTAGTGTAACATTCCTCCATTCATTGACAGCACAGTGATAAACAAATCTCTCCTTAGTAACACAGTCCTGTTCCACATCCTCACACCGTTTTTGTTCCTCTCTTTCTTTCCAAGCCTCCTCGGTTGTTGGGCAACCTGGCACATACTTAATCGTTTCGGTAGATTTAGGACAAACTCCATGTAACAAATGGTACGAGGGCTGTAAATAATGTCCTGAACTATATAACATACATTACAGATATCATATGACATTAAGCTTGACTTTCTCTCATTAATGAATCTTTCATGAATTTATTTAAGAAATAAACAACGTTATTCAGTGAACATGGGGTTATAAATAGCAATTTCTCTGCTGGCATAGTCCATGATGCGCGCTAGCGCTTCATGGAAAATATGCCAGCAGAGCTATTGCTATTCATAATACCATGTTCACTAAATAATCGTTGTTTATTACTTATAAATTGTTTGCATTCTTTAATGTTGTCAAGAATATCAGAGGAAATCCTGACTTACATCAGGACGCAGCTTTTTGTCTTCAGTAAGGAAAAAACATAAACGGCTTTAAAATCAGTAAACCTGATCAATGTTCTTTTACTTTATAAATCACAAACAATTTATAAAGTATTTCCCTCTGAACCACAGTTATTTGGATACAAGCAGCGCCGTCATCACATTTTTGTTTTGATGCAGTTGTGACGTCATTGTTCAACGTTATGGAAACCCACTGACAAAAATCTATAATTTAACACTATGATGAAAAATGAGAATGCTTTAATAATGATTATTACTCCAGAATGCTATTCTATGATTTTTTTTTTAGTTTTTCTATTTCTTTTTAATAGCTGAAAATAAACTTGAAATAGATACATACATTAGTTAAAAAAAATTTCTCTTTCTGAATGTGTTTACCCAAGTGTGAAGAGTTATCGTTCTTTGTACAAATATGCATGATATGAAAAAATAAAGATATCAATGGCATTTCTATAAAATGTTAAAAAAAAGTTTTATTATACAATCAAATACATTGACAAAAATTGATTTTTTAAAGATATAAATCAGCAATTTTAAATATTCTGAATTTCCTTTTTTTAAAGAATATTATTAAAAAACATATTTTTTTCCTCTTACGAAACATTTCATATGTATAGTTCTCAAAACATTTCATAAGTGTTCTAGAGCTTGTTCTACACGAGTGTAATAGAGCAATTGCACTCATAGCAGAAGCAGTTGCGTCTGTAATCTTATGAACACAGTTGTTGACTACATGTTGATTGTGGGAAGGAGCAGTGGATATGCAAATATAACAGTTTATGTGACCTCTTTTCATCACATAGTTTCATCGTGAGAAGCTGGAAAAAAGGCTATTCGGGACACTGCATAAGAAATGAATGGTTAAGCATTGATCTAGAGTGAAAATAAAAGCTTCATTAAAGCTGCCGTAAAACTTGTTAAAAATCCCAAAGAAATATTCACTGAAATATGTAACATTTACAGCAACCAATGCCATTTTAATGGACAAAAGAGCAAGTGGGTTTTAATAATAAAAAAAATATGTAATGAGCATCAAAAATGGATACCGTCCTTGCCAACAAAAATCATACTCACCGTCAATGAAAACGCAACACTCTAATTTTAGGTTGAAAAGTATATACGGGATATAACTATGCACTGAAAAGTTAGGATACTTTTTACCTTGCAAAATCAGTTATTTAACGGTTGAATGACTTTCTTTCCTGTACCCGAAGTTGCTTTTTAACCCTTTTCAACAGAAATCAAATTTTTGCATTTTGTATAAAATTTTTAACATTATTTTGGGTTTTCAAGGTTTTATAGCTGTTTATCAAAAGTATTGTACGAAAATCCCGGGAAAAATCAAATCCTTTTTTTTTACCGGATGTGATGCCTATATTTCCTCAGCATGACTGATTTTCATTGCTAATGCTGGAAATTCTCAAAATGAAGAAAAAAAAGGGCAAGGGATGCAAATGTACAGTATATAAAGACAATTCAGGCTCGTGTGTTTCAATAGCATAAATAACAGTTTCTTGACCGGAAGTCCAAGAGTTAGTACACTACGCCAAGTTAGAGAAAATTCGACCGCAGTATTTGAACAACAGGCAATTAAAATCCCTAGAATATTTATTTCGATCAGATAAATCCATTGATAAACCTAATGCATGGTAAAAATCGGACTGCGTACATGTATGTTGTAAATGGCGGATTACATGTTTTTATTAAATCGTCGAAATGGGGGGGGGGGGTGTTTTATATAAATGTAATCTGTTAAGAGGGCTAAAAAATCAACTGTCGGTAATGAATGAAAACAATTCAACCATTAAATAACTGATTTGGCAAAGTAAAAGATGTATATAGTATATAACTGTTCACCCTAAAAGTAGAACGTTGCGTTTTCATTGACGGTGAGTATATATCATCTTATTTCGACAATTTCGACAAATAATATTTGATGATGTATGATTGACTTAAAGATTCATAGCAAATTTGATAGGCATCATATCGGAGTAGTTTACACTGTCTTTAAGAAGCGTTTCACGGTAAAAACAAAAGTTTAATGCTCTAAGGTCACCATATATTTTGAAAAATGAGTGAAAACGAAATTCTTAACAATTATTTTAAAATATTAGCAATTCAGTTATACACGTTTGTTTTATTCTCAAAAAGATATTGCGCAGGGGTAATAAGGAAGCATAAAAAATATTTTACCTTGGGAAGAAGGATATGGAAATAACGAACGGTATTCAATCTCAACGTCCATTAAACAATATACAAAATAAGAGCAGAGCAAACACGGACCTCCGAAACATCAGAGGTGGAATCAGGTGCCATGTAGGAGTGAGCATCCCCCTACCGACCGGTCACACCAGCCGTGAGCTCGTTGTCATGATCAGGAAATAACGGAAAAAATTCGTTGTCAATTCAGTGTATAAATAATGGACTAACAATTGGAATGAAAAACGTCAGTCAGCATTTGATTCAATGATAAATTGTATTTGCTGAAGAGGTCATTGTATCGACCATTGAATTTACGAAATGTTGACTTTAAACGAGACTGTTGATATTCTTATTTCATCAACTTGCTTGTCAATAACTTACCTCGTTTAAGAAATTGTTCATACGTAGAGCATGCTCTTGCGTATTGAATCAACTGAGATATATATACATGTACTCCGTATGCAGGTGATGAAGGTGTATTGCCGCATAAGAAAGGAAGTTGACGATAGAAAAGTTAGAGTCATCACGTTTATCATATAGCTTGGTTGTTAAATTACCATTAGTGTCTTTTTCTTGACTACACGTAGTTCTCTGCTATATTATGACGACATAGTAAGCGAGATGACGTTAATTTAATAAAACAAGTTTTCGTAATATTGGTATTTCCACATGTAATTTAACTCTAGAAAATGTATACATACGTGTAAACATTAACAAAAATTGAATGTTTTTATTCTGTTATGCTGTATCTATCATTTTGATTAAAATCTATCACCGATGAGGTCATAGGTGTATTTCAAGTTAATTAAGAAATTGATCATGTTGTGTAAAGAGAATTTGGTTAAGACGACGTAAATTGGAGTTGAAAAGGAAATATCGTAAATATTATGTGAAATTCATATGGAGTTCAGTTAATCAAACAGGTATGCTATTTTATTTTCATAAATTATATTATTTTTCGAAGATAGTCAGCTCAATACGTATCCCAGACGGCCTCTCCTCTGTCATTCGTGACAAAAATAATGAAAAAGAACAACAATAAGCCGGATATTTCAAAACACGATATTTGTACAGAAGGAAAGTTTGCCTTCTCACAAATTTGGAAAGTGCTGTTAAAAAATATCGGTTCATAAAATTGAAAACAAAGGGTAAGGTTTCGTGCCAATGTGTGTGATAATTGTTTTACTGAAAGGACAGTGGGATTCTAGCAGCACGTAATAGGCAAAATAGATGCTTTTCAACTATATTATTAAATTAAAAGAAATTATAAAACTCCGGAGTATTGTTGTTCTGTTAGGTTTTTTATTAAGGAAAAAGTCACGTGATACTGTGGCGTTGGAGCACGTCTTTGCGTTAAAAACGATTTTACATGTGTCTGTATGCAATAGTTAAAAACAGTTTACCGTTATCAGCGGTTTTTAATAATTTATCAAACTTAATTTTCTTTTAAAAGTCTTAATTTCCCGAGAACTGAATTATATTTTTCCTTAATATACCCGCAAGGAACATGAATTGCTTAAAAACAAACTTTACATTAAAATGTACTTGATAAAAACGGCGAATGTATGACAAGAGCACAAGTATGCAACAGCACAAAGACAAATTTATTTGTAATTTTCATCAATATTCGCCAGATCTTTGACCTTTTGACTTGTTTCTAGTTTCAAACTTGACAAAATCACCATTCAGAAGGAGGAAACAAGTCCGGGAAATCATTGGATTTATCGTTTTCCAGCATACTAAGGGTCATACCCCAAAATGAGTTCTAACAAAAATCAGAAATTGGATAGAAAATGTTACGGATATGTATTTTACTTTAAAGAGATTAATAAGTTAACTCATGAAGACTTAATCATCGAAAAGCGTCTTTTGCTTCTTTCTGAGCACCAAAAACATTATTTCTTGAACGGCCCTCGTAATTAAATTTGATTGCCTGTGATGATTTGGTAGAAGACAATATCATTTAAAAATTAGATGAGATCACATATTTTACATTAAAGTCAGTCTTTGCTGGATCATTTGAACCGAACCACTTTTTAAGCAGTTATGTTTTTTTATTCACTTGTCCTTCTTTTAATGAGCTTCTTGTCTTGTAACGAAATAAAATCTAACTTTCAGTAACGTGTATCGTCAAGAGTTATAGATAACAATGATATTAAAATGTTCTCTGATTTATTTTTGATTGGAATGAAATTATAAATGAAATAGTAAAAAGAAGCAAAAATATACCTGACTGTAACCGCATATCATGCAGATCAGAAGAATATGTATCTTCAAAGTTTCTTTGATGTGCATTCCTCCGACGAAATTCTGTTTTAATATAGATAAGAGATTAAGTAAGAATCATTGTGAAATGTAATTGATAGAAGGAAAATTTTTCAAAAGATTTCAAAGCAACTGTATAGAAATGAAAAAAAAAATCTGCTTGCTTAAAGACTACATGGTTTTAATTTATACCATTTATAT